AATAAATGCAATAAATAAAATAAAATAAAATAAATAAATAAATTAGTGCCCCTCTCAGATGCTTTGAGCTTGTCTCCCTTCTGTCTACAAGTTTATTATACTTTTTAGGGCCTCCAGTCACAGCAACAATAATCTGTTCCATAAGTGAATGTGAAGGGATCTCCATGAGCAGCCATGCTTTAACAGTGTATGGCTTTGCATCTATGGATTGGAAGAAGGCTCTCATGAGGGCAATTGAGAGAATTAGAACAGAATTATCCCTGATGCTGGCGTGTTGTGGTGCCTTCAATCTCTCCAGGTCTGTGTTGCACCAGTAGCTGCAGGACTCTCCCTGTCTTTTCCTAGAACCTTGCACCTTGCTTGAGGCCTATGGCATGGTGCGTGTACCACTCCGTTCTCGGGAATGATGAAACAGACTGTTCAGGGTTATCCTGCAATGTCTGTACAGGCAGCCGGTCACTGCTGCATCTTGGCCAGTTCTCTGGAACAGCCTTCAGGCAAAAAACATTCCTTGCAACCAGATTTTCTTCTCTGAGATTCTTCTCTTCACCTCCTTTCATAATAACCTCAGCCTTGGTGGTTGGAATGCCTCACAGCAGGCAGGCAAAAAAATGTTTATCATTCAACAGCTATGGCTTTCCGTGTCACCTAAATCAGCAAATGTCTGATTTCTCACATCAGATTTCCACTGGTTATTAAAGACATGGGGCTTTTGTCGGGAAACTAAAGTGCAATCGTGTACTAAGAGGGGGGAAAGCAACACAGGAGCCCAAAGAGAGCAGAGAAGAGATAAAGGGCTTAGTTAAACAAGAAGGAGATGAATCAGAATTTTAAGCAAGTAATTCTAATGATAAAGGAAGTCAGAAACTGGTGTCTGTAATTCCTTGAATTATTGAGATGAATACTCACAAACAGATGAGGCAAAGGCACAAAGGGTGCACAGCTACATCTTTTTTCTGACCTTCTCCTGCACATCCTGAATAGCAATCTGAGACACAAAAATTAAGGAAAATGTTAAAATCCACGGTAGGGAAAATACATTCCTATTATACCAAGTAAGCTTTTGAATTCTCCAGAGGCAGGCCTGGCTGCGTTTGCTTTTTGTGTGCCTTAAAAAATAATATAAGCGAAATTATCCATGACTTTCTCGCCAAGACACAAAAAGCTTTACTTACTTAAATTCTTTGTTGCTTGCTATTAAAGACATAGGAGCAGGGCAAGGAAAATTGCAGGCAACTGTGCACACAAACTTCAAAACAAAACAAAAACCCAGTATGCTTAACTAAGATTCTTCTGGCTGGCCACCCATGTCTTATCTCACATCTCTTCTCTCTCATCCTTCTTATCATTTTGCAAATCCTCTATTTCTAACTCTTGTCTATCTCACAAAAAAGTAAACATACTTATCAGATTTATATTCCATTTTCTAAGTGAAGCATACAAAGTTTTATTGCCTATTTTATTCTTACAGTACCACAAGTGCAGACTTTGGGTGGAGGGAGAGAAATGACTGTTTCTGTGCAGTGACTCTACCTTTGTTGTTATATTTTTGTGTGGGACCTGCGAAAACATGTTTGCAAAGGGGGAATGAGAATTCATTGCTTCCTTTCTTTTCCTCTTCTTCCTCCTGGTGTAAGCTTCCTTCAACTATTCCTGATGATAGGGGCTAACTCGTCTCCAGAAGGGAAGAGCTGAAGCTACTGCAGCTTCCTTGGTTCATTAGCCTAGTCCCGTCACACCAAGATTTAGCACATGTCTCACTATCCCTTGATTCAGCTGTGACCCTCAGCAAAGGTATGACCTAGGAGCCAATGCAAGCCAGAGTCTTACTGGCTGTAAAGTAGATGCATTCCCCTCCAGCTTGTGCATCAGCAACCTCCACATCAACATAATTTGCTGCTGAAGCAAAGCATCCTTTCTGCCATGACTTCTTCTCCCTTAGACTCTATTTTTGGCTTCTCCCGTCCATTGTTTTGCTGCACACATTGAGGGTGTCTTCCTCTCCCGCCCCACAACCTATTCCTGCCTTCTCTTCCTAGGCCTGTTTTGGTACCTGAAAGATCTGCATGCAGGAGTCGGATGGTACCATCTTTGCAGACGATGCTTCCCACGGGGCATGTGATCCTTGAACTGCTTTGGCTGGCTGCTCCCTTCATTCCTCACCATTGGCCCTGCTGGCTAGCACCTATGCTGCCGTCGTAGGCCAAAACATCTGGAAGACCTCACCACTGCTTTTCAGAACTACAAAAGCAAAAAAGCAAAGGCAAAAACAGGACTCTTCCTCTAACCAGTTATAATCTAAACCTTTATGGTGGGAGAAATAATATATTCAAGGAGGGAGAAAATGAGAGTGACCCTTCACAGGCAGTCGGAACTGCAGAAAGCAGCTCTGTTTGGAGTTGCCCCTTGGAGGCTCCATCGCAATCAATTAACTCTCCTTCAGACACTCCCTGGAATGAGAGATTTTGCGGCTGTTTCTTTTGACTGGTATCTGGTATGTCATTGGAAGCTTAATGCACTTTCAGAGATACAGTTTGGAATGTGTTGCTGAAACTACTTATACATTACTGGGGATTTTCACATTGTTTATTTTATTGTTGTCCAGTTCATGGGAAAAAAACCATGTGAAAAAAAGCATGTGGAAAATTCCAGGCTTTGGAAAATTCCACATACCTTTGCTGATGTTTCCAACAGTACCTGCTCCTGGCCAGCCCAATCCTATGCTTTACCCCCACCATTTTTCTTGTAATCTATTCCCAATTTCAACATTCTTTTTTTCAGCTTTAAATTTGGCTTTGGTCTATTAGAAAGCAATGTCTCTGAATTTTGTAGCAACATTCTGGAATGTTTTTTCCAGTGGAAAATATACCCAGAATATTGATAGAATTTTCTGTCTTATTTGAAAAGTATGTTTTTTGAAACAGTAACATATTTTTAAAGGCACTAATTCTAGGGAAAGTCAAAGGAAGAGGACCAACCATGGAATGGACTAAATCCATAACGGAAGCCAGAAGTTTACAAGAGCTGAGCAACATGGTCAAGGGCAGGGCATTTAGAAGGAGACTCATTCACAGGGTCTCATAAGCCAGAGATGATTTGATGGGATGTAACACCAACACATAAGCATGTTTTTAATAAAGCAAGACATACAATCTACCCTTAGTTCATGTATCATCTGGAGTTTTGATGCTATGCAATCTCTCTCACTCATTCTCTTTCTTGTTCCCACTCCTCTCCACCTCTGTCCCTTTTCTTAAGGATCACCATGGCCTGAATTGCATAGGTGGGTTGCTTTGGGCTGGTCTTTTTCTCGCAATTTTAAACCCTAAACCAAATGCAGTTCATTGACTCAAATGTGAAAAGGGCAAAGGGCTTAAGCAAGGAAACCGTTGATGCTGAACCCACAGTTACTCTTCTAATCTAGAATAGTTTTCTTGATTGACAACCTGGGTGCCTTCACAGGGGGCTCTTGGCATTACCTCTGAGAAAACTTTATGCAGCTATCCAAGTTTTTTCTCCTTAAGAGATTTTTCCACAGTGAGAAAAAGGATGGAAGTAGCTGTAGGAGAAGACAGGAAGGAATGACATCTGGACCATATGTCTAATTTTTGAATGAGCTGTTGTGATGGTGCAATAACCCCTTTCTTTGGAACCAGCATCTGTCTCTTGTATCAATCATGCATCTATAAACTCAGAATCACCCAAAGCCTTGTGGATTTCAAGCAAGGCTTCTGCAGTGCTGTGGGACTGGGCATATGCCAGCAGTGGATTTTGGGCATTCTCCCTGAACTTTCAGCAGCAGAAACCTAATCCTCATCAAAGAGGAGGCAAAAGTAAACTTTTTGTTAGTCTACTCACAATTGCTTTAGTGGATGAAAGTTTATCCTCTGCTCTGTTGTCAGTTATGAAGAAAGTAGCAGCTGTCCCATATTCCTTTGCACTGATCAAGAGAGGATGCCACGTTGGAAGAAGGGCTCTGCAGAAACCAGAATGACCTGTCCCATTCCTTTGAAATATTGGTGGGCAGCAGCATATTAACTGCAAATACTGCAGTGCTGAATCACCCCCGAATTGCCCCACATTGCAGGTGAATTCTATAGCAATATGGGCACAAGAAACTGTTTTATATTGTCCTTCTAGCCCAGTATTGCTGGCACTCATTGGCAGCATGGCTGTGCAGGTCTTCAAACAGTTTTTCCAGGCTTACCTGAAGATGCGCATGTTGAACTGGGGAACTTCTGCATCCAGAGCATCTTTACTACTGAGTGAGAGGCACACACTCAAGAGAGAGAAAAGCAACTTCTTTGAATATTCTGCTTCGGTCAGGGGCAGCCCTGACAATCTTGCATGGATTGATTCCCTTCCCAGCGGTTCCCACAGCCCATTCTTTCATGATGAAACCTGTAAGCTTTTGTATCTCTATCTGTCTTGGGCATTGTAGGGTGCCGAGGCAGGATTCATGGGTCATTTTTCACCTTGCTTATCTTGTCTTTCATCTGGCATTGACAAATTGCCTGGAATCCAGCTCTGATCATGGGTTTTGCAATGGCATTGAGAATTTGCCTTGCTTCGGAGGAAGAGGAATGGCCCCAAGCACGGCTTTCAAAACAAAAGCCTTTCTTGTTGGTGTCTTTGTGAAAGGCCAGATGGCCTGCTGGGGGGGGGGGGGGCTGCGAGCTAGCCCAGCCCACCCACTTGCCAGCATATAAGAGGGAACCCTCCGAGAGCTACATCGCTCAGTCTCCCGCTCTGTGTTGCTTTGCACCACTGGAACTATGACCACTGCTTTCTCTAGCCGTAGCCGGTCCTTCTCTGGTGGCCTGCAGGGACCCAGAGGGGGAAGCTTGCTTGGCCTAGGGAGGCCTCAGGCAGTGTCAAGTGTCTATGGGGGCTCTGGGGTCCTGGCCAGCTTCTTGCCCCTTACCAAGGATGGCTTGGCAAGGCGATACGGGCCGGGGGCTCTGGAGACCAATATCTTTGACATGAATGAGAAAGACACCATGCAGAATCTGAACAACCGCCTGGCTGCTTATCTGGACAGGGTAAGTTGCTGGGGGGCGCTTCTGGGTAGCGGAGTCAGGCATGGTGCGTTGCCTTAAAGATGGCACTGGGCAGGGGCAGCGGCAAAAGGAGCACCGTGCCTGGCTCGGCTTTTGGAATGGAGTTCCAGGAAACAGGGACAGGGCTTGATTTTTAGAAGAGGATGCCAGGATGTCCGACCTGTGTTGGGAGCTCTGCCCTTTCTCTGGGAAGAAAGTGCTGATTCTGTGCACAGGGGGACAAGCTATAGTTGCTCAGTGGTGGGAAAAGGCCCTGGATCCAGAAGAACCCGCATGAGCTCTTCTTTCGCACGGGTGGGGAGGGCGACATTATGGGAAGAGAAGGGCGCACAAGCCTCAATGCGTCTGTAAGAGGCATTCTGCCTTCCTCATTACCACTGTGGCCCCATTTGCTGTCTACGTTTGGCTGAGGATGCCTTCCCTATCCTGGAAGGAGGTGACCCTGGAGGTGAAATTTGTAGAACGGATACTGGCCAAATAGGCAAAATGCCATTTGCTCAGTGAGCAATTGTGCAAATGGTTTCCAAAGGTAAGTCCAAAGGGACTGTAGCCACTTCCAGACCAGGACCTGGCAAGGTGGAGGTGGTGAGGTGCTGCAGGATGAGGACAGAGCCCCTGAAGATGAGGACAAAAGGCTTCCACTGCTTGGAATGGGAGATATTACATTGCATTGATATGTCACCTTCTTCCCTCGTATGAGGAACCCAAGGGAGCTGATATACCTGCATTTTATCCTCATAACAATCTTGTGAGGCAGGCTATATTGAGAGTCTGGGGCTGGCCCAGTCACGTGCTAAGCTCCATGGCTGAGTGAGGTCACGGCCACAGGAGAAGCAAAGGGCCTGAGCCCCATCCATTCCCAGCAGTGCCCAGATTCAGGTTTTCTGCCGAACGTGTTATTTGCTTTTAGAAAGCCATTCTTGCAGCTGCTAATTGTGCGGATGGCTTCTTGTCCAGTAGCTGGGGCACAAGTCCAGCTTTGCATGAACGCTGTCACAGGCTCCCTGCAAGAAAATTGTCCGGAGCAATGTCTGTCAGCTAATAATTATACTCTGCATTACTGCTGCAGCTTTCCCCAGTCTGGTGCATTCCAGGTGTGTTGAACTACTACTCCCATTATCCCCAGCCAGCATGTCCCACACAATCCTTCAAAATAATGTGTTCCCAGATATGCAGATATTTCTGCTCTAGGTAGGACACCACCACTGGGAATAATGTTTTTGAGAGCGACTTCACTGTAGGATTAGTGTGGGAATCAGACCAAAGTCACTCATGTTCAAAATTCAGCAACAATTCAGTGTCAAACATTTACAGATGTAATCAGATCAGGGGAAAACAAAAAAACTGGGGTGGGGGTTGTTTGCCAAGTCTTTGTCAAATGATTTCTTGCGTAAGAACATTCCTCACCACTTCTAAGCCAAATATTGTGCAAAAGGGGGACTTTTGGGAAAATAAAGTTTAAATTAGGAGGATATACACTTGTTTTGTTTTCAACAAGCAAACTCCAATTAGGCAAATGAACTCTGAATTTCAACTTTAGAATCATGTGTCCACTTTGGGTAGTCAGTTGAAGAAAACAGATAGTAGATGCATGCTTCTGAAGCTAAAATGTCACATTGTGGGATTTTTGTTGAAAGACTAGAGGGTTTGTAACAGGGTCTGCTCTTGTAACCCTTATGCTTGGCTGTGCTGGCTCAATTTTTCTTCACTAATGGCACAGTCTAATCCGTGTTCAGACAGAAAAAAGGCCGACAACTGGCTAGGGCATCTTGGGTGCCCCAAGGTTTTTATTCATTCTCAACCTTCATGGGTGTCCTAACTGACTTTTTCCTGCACCTTCTGCAGTTAGGTGACGTCCTGGATATGCTTGTGATTCCGGTCAGCCTGGTGGGATCCCTGCTCTGACACCTGCCTACCTTACATCTCTGCAATGCAGGAAGCAAATTGGCACAGCACCCCTATTTAAGATGGGGCACTGTGCCAGTGTTGTTAGTACTTCATTTCTGCAAAGCAAGATGCTGTGAAAGAGGCAGCCACAATGCTTCTCCGAACGTTGACGGCAGAGGCAAAAGTACTCTGCACATGTTCTGAGGAACTCTTTTTACACCAGAGCCTTCAGTTCTTTTATCTATGAGACAAAGTCCTGATGAGCTCGGGCTGAAACTAATAAAGGCTTAATGATAATTGCCATGTAGTCCTTGTTTGTGCAGCAATCCTTTGACAAGCAGGTTTCTATTCCTTATCTTTAGATTTCTTCTCTGGTTATGGTTGACAGCTACCTACAAACACTAAAGGTTATCTAGACACCCACCCACCCACAAATCTTGAAATTAGTATAGTTGAAACAAAGGTAGGTTTCAATCTACTGTAACTGGATTAGTAATTTTATTTGTTGGGTCAATCGCCTGGTATCAACCATGCTGGATTTTACTAATTCATGTGCTTTTTAATGTGTTATAGCATGTCCATTGTTCTTGTTTTATATTGTGATGATCTAAGCTAGTCTTTCCCAACTTTTGTATGGCTTGAAGTGTCTGAGCCTGCCTACTCTTGGAAGCTAAGCAGGGTTGGGCCTGGTTGAAGTCTGGATGGTTGTCTTCATGTTGGGAACTTCCCAGGGAGCTTTAGCTATGGATGGTATAAAAAGGTTAATCATCATCTGGTGCCCCAGCTACGTCAGACCAACTCCCATTTCTGCAGAGGCCCTCCTGCTTCAGTCTCTGCAACATTGGCAGCCCCACTGCAATTTTCCTCTTCCTTGTTTCGCTTCGCTGCTGGCAACTTTGGCTGGGGCAGGTTTTATGGCAGGGCCGGGTGCTGACCCTGGTGAGTTCCTTGGGGAGGGGATGAAAACTTGCAGCCCCTGGAAGTTGCCACCCATGATATATAGGAGTGCAGGCGATGTAAACTAGCAGCAACCTGCCAGTGCAAATAGACCCATTTTGAAGGAAGTGAACATACACTGCCATCTAAAAAACGGCCTGTAAGATCATTTAACCCAAAATCTAAAATAATCTAGCTGATGCTCTCACCCTGCACTGCCAAAAGTGATCATGTGAACAGCCACTCCTGCTCATTTCGATGAGGCGAAAAAATTTCCAGCAAACTGTGTCCCAGGTGGGTCAGAGATGTTGTTTATCTCTCTTCCAGGTCCACAATCCACACTCTGCTGCCATGCTTTATGATGGGACTACCTCCAGCTGTTTTAAAAGTCACACATACACCCATTAGCATTCCCTGTAGTGCTAAACTTGTCTAGTTCTTGTGCCAATCCATTTGGAAGCAAATGGGGACCACTGACAAACCAAGAGAATGGGCTTCCCCGAGAGGTCGTTGAGGCCCCATTGGTGAAGGTGTTCAAAGATAGGCTGGACATGCACATGGTAGGCATGTCGTGAGCGGAGCTGGCTGGAGCCGGGGGTCAGACTAGATGGCCCTGGAGGCCCCTTCTGACTCGCTCTGTTTCTATGGTTCTATTTCCATATACTTGCAGGGGACTCCCTTGGTTCCCTGAAGTATATTACTTTGTACTTCAAAAGATCAAAAAATCTTCTTTAAAACAAAAATCCTCCAAGCAAACTGATGAGGGTCCTGCCAGATTCCAGGGCCTACAAATTGTTATGTGTCAAGACAGACAGACAGAAAGAGAGGTGGAGGAAGGGCCTGCGCCCACCAGGTTTATGTACATATTCAAAGCAAACAGCAACTTCTCTAGTGGCAATCCTTACAAATCAGCCAGCAAAGAGGACCCCTGCGCCTTGTGGGATTTGGCAATGTCTCTTTGATTCGGGTCTAATCTCATCACCCGGCTTGATTTCCTCTGCTGTTTGCCAGGTGCGCTCTCTTGAAGACTCTAACGCGCAGCTGGAGCAGAAGATCCGGGAAACCTACATAAAGCGAGCATCGGCTGATGGCCCAGACCTGAGTGGCTATTTCAACACCATCACAGATCTGAAGGCTAAGGTATCAGCACCATCATCATTGCCAGCTTTATCAATTTGGATTTGTGTTCTATTTTAGATACTGCTTAGATCCAAGGTTGCAGAGAGAAATTTACTTAGGCAACACACAAATCAAAACATGCTTATGCTTATGAATTGTGTGATGTAGCTCTTTCATCAAAAGACACATACAAAAATCTGCATATTAGGAAAAAGTACTAAAAAGGCATATATTATGGCAAATAACATAAAATTCAATCTATTAAGCAAAATAGGAGAAATGTGCATGAAAATGCATTTAAATTTGCAAGTGGATTATAAAAATAAATTCATAAACTGATACAGGAACAGGGCAAAACAAAATTAAGAATGGAAAGAGAGGCACATTCCGACTAAGTCCATCCCGACTTAGGACATGAAGATGTAAGGACAAGATATTAGATGACATGAATCTGCACCCAGTAAGATTTTCCTGAATGGTCTCTTACACGGGTATCTACACTACAAATGTGTATCAGCTCCATCCACACACAGGGCTTTCCTCAAAGAATCTTGAGATTTCTACAGTTGTGAGATGTGGCAGATTCTCCATCAAAGAGCCTGAACAAAATCACACAAAATCAGAATTGTCATGGTTTCTTGGGTCAATGGAAAACTATATAGGGCACAGTCCTACAGGGATGAGAGTCACTTCTGAATTTGGAGGCTTATGTTCTCCTAATGTGGTGTAGAAGGAGCAGTGGATGGGATCTTCATCTCCCTGCTCCTTTTGCTCTTCATTTTCACTAGACAGGACCTCAGATGGGGAGAGAAGAGCCTGGAGTGTCTTCATGACTCGTTGTATCCTGGCTGCCCCCCCATCCTCCTCTCCGCGCCCCCCCCCCCAGATTCTCCTCTGACCTAGGGGAGCAGCTGGTGTGGTTCTTTCCTCTCAGTCTGCAAAGGAGGCAGCGAGGGAGATTGGAACAATGTCTCTGCCCCTAAAGCAGGAAAACCACTTCATCCTATGGCCCCTCAGACAGTGCTAGGGGCCATAGGATTGTTCCCTCCAGGTGCAACTGTACGTATGCTTAAGCAGAAAAAGGTCCCACCAACCATTTTCAGCACTGACAAGGAAATTGGACTAGGCAAGACTACACATATTAGAGAGCATAAATGTGTACTTGTGCACCTGTGAAAAACCAAAACATTTATCTATCTATTTATTTAAAAGCTGTGCCATTTCCAGAGATCAAATCCCTCTGTGATCCCAAATGCACTTTTTAGGCTCCATAAACCAAAACAAAAAGGTGCTAAAGAGGAAGAGGTAGCAATTGGAGTGGGGAAGAGGATTCAAGATGGATTCTGCCATGAAGGACACAGGGGTTTGGTCTGGAGGACTGAGGGGAAATGAGGGGGAGAACAAGCCTCAGTTAGGCCAACTGTCTGGCAGATGCACTGGGGGTGTTCAGGGAAATACTGCCCCCACCCCCATGGTTTATTTGCAAGGTAGCTTATTGTGGGAGGCAGTGACAACTCAAGTCACTGCATCCATGCATTGACACAGCTTTTAGTTTGGAGCGTCCGTGTGAGGCCTTCTTAGCAGGGCTGATCTGAGACACTTTGTTGCCCGAGGCAGAACAGGAAACAGCAGTCTGAGTCAAGGTGGCATAGTGCTTCCGGCTGGCCTGAAAACCCCACAAGCATCACTCCCTGGCCATAAAAACACAACGTGGCTAACTTCAGTTTGCTCTGTTACCCACCATCAGGTGGCCTCCGACCCTGCTTTTTGCCAGCCAGTGGGCTATCCGTTCAAAAAGTGCTGGAGCCCAGTCCAGGCCCCTGTTGTTCTCCTCCTCGTGCCCAATGACCACAGCCCAAGACATGTGGGAAACTGCCCCCCACCCCCCCACCGGGATTTTGCTGCAGGTCTCCCTTGTGGGGCCTCTCTCTCATGATCTTTACTCAGCCTTAGCTGAGAGGGCTCCATGGATCCCCTTCCTGAGCAAACTCTCTCCTTTGATAGTACTCTGGAAGGCTTACCTGCCTCTTTCATCTACCTGCAGATCCAACAGGAGACTCTGACGAATGCTGGGCTGCTCTTACAGATCGACAACGCAAAGCTTGCCGCCGATGATTTCAGAGTGAAGTAAGATCTCTTCCTCCTCACTGCCTCTTTCTTTGTCTCATTCAGATGTTCGTGTTTGATTTAGGGGTACGGTTTCCTGAATGTTGAAAAGCTTTTCTACACAAGGCAGTTTAGCTGCTTCTGCTTTTGGCTTCATTGCTGAATTGAAATTTAAGCACAGCTGGCTGGCGAAACGGGACTATGCACAATTTAAATATGTTTATGGATTACCATTAAAAGAAAAAATTTGGGAGGTTGACCGAGTAGGCCTGAAGTTTTTTTGATGATGGAAGATTTTTTAAGTTTCTTTCTGTTAGTTTTTTTAGTTAGTAGAAAATAGCAATAAAACGTGTTAAAAAAAGAAAAGAAATCTCAGCACTGCACAAGGAGCAGTTCCTTTTCTGCTTCTCTAATACATAATCTCTCAGTATCACTGTGATTTAGTGAAATAGTGTAAATACACTAGAGGAAGTCATGCTTTCTTTTGTTTTCACAACAAAATGCTACATTTCCTTGTTCTAAAGAAACTTACAAAAATGTGGGTTAAACACTGTCACCCTTCAGTTTTCACAGTTCTTGTAATTTTGCAATAGTTATTGGCTCAAAAGACAGACCAAAATGTGTACAACAAAGTAATTTAGGATAAAATGCATTTGATATATATTTTAAGGTACAGAGTGTGCAAAAATGCATATTCTGAATACTGCTATCCAAGAGATATACCTGTGAAACTAGTGTAGTTTTTTAAAAATGCTGTTTGATGCATGAATGGGACAGAATGGAGTTATGGAGGAGCACCTGTGAAACTAACACAGCCCGGAAATAGAACGATCTGTACATCACTAATTGTAGCCTGTTTGTAATTCTCAATCTGGCCTATTCTGAGCAGCTGGCTGGTAAATAGAATAAAATTTTGCAAGGCCTGCTTGCAAGACCTTCCTTGTGAGTCTTTTTGTCGATGTTAGCTTGCAAAGAAGCATACCTCCTAAAAAGAGCTTTGTTTTGATCCAGTCACTCAGATTTTGGAAGACTCTTAAAGCAAAGCTGTGGTTTCTAAATCCCAGTTGACCTCACTAATTTTTGTTTGGTCTGGGAGTCTGATTATCTCAGCCCTGTGATGATGTCCGATTGAAATCACTGCTCCTCTGCAGTCGAACTGAAGAGCCATAAAGCTCCATCTGCAGTTAATTCAGGACATCTGTCATTCTCTATATAATATGGTTGTTTTCCTAGATAAATGGCAATATATTTGTCAGCTGTTTTAACAGGCTTACTTGTATTAACCTGACTTTCATATTCAGGTTGTTTAAATTCAATTTAGAAATTTCTGTAGTTAAATTTAATGTGTATGTTATACTGTATTTTTTGACTTTATGCATCATTATAGACTGCCCAGGGAGCTCCGGATACTAGGTGATTTACAGATGATGATGATGAAGAAGAATTTAGAACTGCCAGTGACACACTTTGGAAGCTACAGGGATTAGACCTCTGGGAAGATGACATGAAGTTCAGTTCAGGGGCGTATTGTGTGTGGAGGAATGAGTGGGTCCATCCATGCTGGCCCTAGTCTCAGCTCCCAGGTGTTGATCAGGTCTTCCATATGAGGCTACCTGACTATCACACAGCAGAGACTGCAAGTGGGGCCAGTCCCTCACTGCCCAGATTAATTACTTCTGGATTTAATATTCTAAGCAGACATTAGGCAATTGGATATAAAAGGAAGAAAAGCTCCCTTAGAAATGGTAGTGTCCTGCTTCTGGGACCTGGATCCAAACCTGGTATCCTTCTGATATTTTGGACTACAACTTCCATCACCTCAACTGTTTGTCATGCTGGCTGGGCCCGATGGGGAGTTTGTTTATGATTATTTTCAAGTCTATAGGCTGCTGAATAGCCATTTATGGATTCTCTAGGCAGCTGGCAACATTAAAAAGCAGCCAACAGTACAATTATAAGCACGGAGCAGGGGAAGCCTGCTGGGAGCAGTGTGAGCTTCTACGATCAGGTAAAATTGGTGTTGTGCTCCAAAACATCTGGAGGAGGCTCGGCTGAAAAAGGCTGGCCCGGAGTATTGCTGGCTGCACTCCTGGTTATAATGGTCATGGGGAAGCATGGATGCAGACATGCCCCACGGACCCTTCTGCCCCGTCAGGCTGGACTCCGAGGTGGCCATGCGCCTGTCCGTGGAGGGAGACATCGGCGGGCTGCGCAAAGTCCTGGAGGAGGTGAACGCGAGCCGGGCTAGCCTGCAGGTGCAGGTGGACAACCTTCAGGAAGAGCTGTCCCATCTCAAGCGGAACCACAAGGAGGTGAGAGGGCAGGTCATCTGCCTGAGAGGGCTCAGCATCCAGCACTGTTGCTGGCTTTGCCTTGTTGCTCGGTGCTTCACCAGAACTGCTTGCCGTCAATGGTAGCTGGAAGATCTAACGGTCCTTTATTTCTCTCTTTCTTAAGTTCCTTGCCAGAGGTTAATGGGAGATGCCTGAGTTTTAACCTCCTTCTCAGGGTCTCCAGGATATCCTAGAATGGAGTCAGAATGAGAGTGAGAACTTTCCCCATTAGTTCTGTGCCCACCTCTGACCCATCAGGTTCACCCAGTTCCACCCCTCCACCAATTGGCCCAAGCGGGTGGCAAAATGAAAAGTGTACACAGAATCCTAGAAACAATCGTTAGGATCAATCGTGTGGGCCCAGATCTGCTGGGCCTCTGTACAAGAGCACGTCCCACTGCAACATTTAGTTGCAGGCCTCCCCTTGGAATACCTCTCCTATTAGGGGCCTGGCTTTGAGGATTGTGCTCCATATCCATCCAGTCTTCGCCCTGCAGGGGTCCCGGTTAGTCCTCTGCGGATGTATGATAGACCCTTTCTTCCCACAGGAAGTGGCTTCTCTCGAGGGACGGCTGGGGGGCACCATCCATGTGGAAGTGGATGCCATGCCCGGTGCTGACCTGCAGAAAATTATCTCAGAGATCCGGGACCAGTATGAGGAAGTCATGGGGAGGAACCGCCGGGAGGCCGAGGCACTGCATAACTCCCAGGTTTGGAAGTGCCGGGCAAAGATGCTGAACATGCTGGAAGCGCGGGGGGGGGGGGGGGGGGGGGGGGTCAGCTGTTTACCCCTCTATGTGGGGATCTCATAGCATGTGGGTGGTGGTGGGGGGACTGGAGCAGAAGGAAAGATGTTTGATCGGCTTCTGTGAGATTCTTGTGTTGGTTGAGTCCTCAGCAGATACTTTCTGTCATTTCTTTCTTCGGACAATGCACAAGGACGAAGCCTTTTTTTAACTTACAACCTCTGCACATCTTTACCAAGAATGCAACCCTTATGTTCAGTTTTTCTCACCTTCACCAGAAAATCTGGTGGCCAAAAGACAGGATGCGGCCCACAGAAATTAGGGAAACTCTGTGGGCTCCTGTGACATCTAAGCAGGCGTGAGTCTGCTTAAAACACTTCCAGCCCCCTCTGGGCCAGCTCCTTCCTTCTAGCTGCGCCCCGCTGGCTGGATTGGCTCTCCCTTTTGTGCAGCCAACAGGGATAAAGACTGAAGCAGGTTTTCACTGGCAGGGATCGGCCAGGACTACAGATCACTGGGGAGCGGGAACCACCCTGGGAGCTTTCTCTGCCGGACGATTGAAGGCGCAGTGTTGCAATATGCTTCGTGGGGTCCCAGAGTTTGCCTCAGATGCATCTTCCGGAAATCACCTTTGGAAGACGCATCTGAAGCAGACTTTGTTTCTTTCTGCAATCACCTTTTGCAAGTGCTGAGCATCCAAAGACCTTTTCCATGTTGCTTTTATCTTCCCCATCCCTCCATGTTTCTAGTCCTTAGGAGTGAGGAGATTACATTCAAGAATTTCTCAGCACTGTCCATTGGTTTAGGACACTTCAATAGACAAATGAGGGAACAGGAGGCAGTGGGCAAGTGCCCTGCATTGCCTCTTGCCCCCCTGAATGGTTGAGGGTGCAGTCCTATGAGTGCTCGGCATTGCCTGGACAGTCCTAGGAAAGCTCAGGAGTCCGGCTTCGGAGCCAGTGCTGGGGGGTGCGATGCAATCCAGAGGATGGGGAGGCAAGGTCTACTAGGATGCGAAAAAGGGCAGTCGTGCTTTTGGGCCAGGAGAAGGGTGGAGGTGCCCTTCACCTCTGCATTACTTCCATCCTTGACTGGATGTCTACCATTCTCTGTGTCTGGGGGTCACAAGCAGCCATGCTATTGTGCTGTCCTGGAAACAAAGTAAATGATAAAAGAAGAGAATGCACACACACACATTCACAAACTCTCTCTCAATTTGCATTGTCCGCTTAGATCGCAGAGCCTTGGGGAAGGGGACTCAGCTCAAAATATTGGATAGCTTAGTGTTGGACTTCAGCTTAATTTGGTGAAAAGCAACCTCCCTCCCTCCCTCCCTTCCAGATGGGAACGGGCATGGATGGTAGGGAGGAACTGGTGGCTTCTTCTCTCTTGCAGTGCGAGGTGATCAACCAGGAGGTTGCCATCAGTACTGAAGCTCTTCAGGCCGCCCAGCTGAAGATCACAGAGCTGAAACGGCTGGCCCAGGCCTTGGAGATTGAGTTGCAGTCCCTCCGGAGCACAGTTAGTATCAGTGGTTTTCCAGGCTGTTGGTAATACTTAATAGCCATTTGCGTTGGCAAGTGATGTGGATTCAGGGGTTCCAGTGGGCAAAGACTGAGATCAACAGGTCGAGGCAGTTGACTGGAGTTTACATCTCCCACAACAAAAAGTCAAGTTTCTAGCCCTTAAGATTGCAAACACTGTATGTAAAAGTCTCGGGAAATGCCTACTGAAATCTCACAAAGCTTGTATCGACTGAATAGAACTGCCAGTGAGGAGACTGGAGGCAGTTCAGCAGGTCACATATCTCTTAGCTTGTACCCAGGCCTACCAGAAATGGAATTTAATTTTCACATTCTGTGTAGGTTGCAGAATTTTACTTTTTCATGATAATGGAAGTTGCATTCCCTTCATGAAGCCTTTTGACATTTTTATCATTCTGGGGGGTGGGATCACCCTTCACATGCTACATTGTAGGTATGATGGGGTGAGCCACTGTTCTGGCTTCCCTACAATGCCCGGACGGGGGAGGGGGTGGCAGTGCTTTAGGGGCGAGTCATGAACGGGGCCTGGCTCCCCCTCCGTTTGACGCACCTGTGTGCGGCGCTCTGCCTCCCAAGGCCATCCCCAGCCCCCCGCCCCCCATCCACTCTCCCTGCTGAAAATGTCCTGTGGAGCCTCCAGTCTCCTTTCCTGCTCACGTACCCTTCCTCTTTGCTTCCAGAAAGAGGTCCTGGAGTGCACCCTGGCAGACACCGAGTCCCGCTATGGGTCGGAGTTGATGCGGCTGCGTGATCTTGTTGCTGCCAGGGAGGCAGAGCTGAGCCAGCTGAGATTGGATGTCCAGCGCCAGGCTGAGGATTATAAGCAGCTAATGGATATCAAGCACCGGCTGGAACAGGAGATAGGCACTTACCGGCGCCTTCTGGAAGGGTAGGAAGGAGCGGGCCTGGCAGGCACGGGCTCTCTCACGGGGCTGCTCCATCACCGCCCTCTTTGCTCCCGAAGCTCAGAGGTGCTCACATGTCCTCGGGCAGCACCATTCACACCTAAGAGGGAGGTCCAGCAGGTTTGGGAGGACCCCAAATCTTGCCACAGTACAAAAAGAAAGGAGAAAACACCTTTCGGAGGAGGCTCCCCTGCTCCCGCAACAGCCCGACGTGTGGAAAGCGTGTGCACCTTCCTGGCTGGAGGCTGTTTGACTATGGGCAGCGTGGAATAGAGTATCCTGGAGGAAGGTGTGGCCGGCTGGGAGGAGTACTGAACAGGAAATGCTCTTAATCTGGTGGGCGCTGCCTTGATGGGCGATCTGTGGCCCTCCAGATATTTCTGGACTGCACCTCTAGTGATCTCTCCCCACTGGCGATGCAGGCTGGGGATGATGGGATTTGTAGTCCAGCACAAGCTGCGCACCCTTGCCTTAGATCACCGTGTGGAGGGTTCAGATAGGAAACTTGGTGGCATAAAGGGGAACCTCAGGCTCAGTGATGTGAAAACCTGGGGATTTTTAAAACTGATTCCGCTTTCTTTTGCTTTCTCCAGGTCGGAGGCCGAGCCACCAACTACCCCAGGTATGCAGAATGCTTTTCTCTTTAGGGTTGCCTTTTAGGGGAAACTGAAAATATTTGTCAACAGGAAGCAGGTCCTAATTTTGCACAGATTTTTGGACTGAGATTCTGCTAGCTTCTCTTATTGTATTTTCAGATACATGGAGAGACACCCCCACACCCCCACACCTGCTTGTTCTTCCTCTTCTGATTCTGTGTTTTTCCAAAGGGGATGTAGGGGTTCTCCCAACCTTTGGGCTTGAATGGGCTTTGCAGTCATTCAGCAGATCAGACAAAGAGCTTTGCCTTCATGAGGCTGGTAATCTACTCTATCTACTTTTGGTTTCCTTACAGAACTGAGATCTGAAAAAAACATTTTGTTTCCTGAATTTCTGGTACATAACCTCTAAATGACACTGTGGTGTAGTGAGCTGTGAAAATACACCCGCGAAAGTAGTCATCTTTTGCTTTCTTTAAATAACCCTGCATTTTCCTGCCCTAGCAAACCTAACCTAAAGTGCTGTTTAGAAACAAACAAATTTTGACTAAAGAACCCATTAAAAACTATGCCTCATGTTGAAAAGCTCATACTCTGGTCCAAATTGTAATGCACATACATCATCATTGAAACAAGCTTTTAAGTTGGTTTAACTAGCATAACTCCGCCTCCAACAATGAATCATGGGAAATGTAGTTTTGTGCAAGCACTGAGATTTATTTATTTATTTGGCATGCCAATTCTTAGGATCCTTTGCTGGGAGCCATGACAACGAAATCTTCAAAAAGCGAGCTAAATTGAGACAAGCCAAGTGAATTGCAATTCACAAAAATAGCCTTAAATTTGCCATGAGTGAACACTCATGTTCAGTCTGAGGAACCAAAGCTTAACACCAGTGTGGTGCAGTGGTTAAGAGCATGGGACTGGGACTCGGGCGATCTGGGTTCTAGTCCCTGCTCAGCCCTGGAGCCAACTGGGTGACTCTGGGCCAGTCACAGACTCTCAGCCCAACCTACCTCACAGGGTTGTTGTTGTGGGGATAAGATGGAGGAGGAGAATGATGTAAGCTGCCTTGAGCCCTTTGTAGGACATAGGCAGGAGATGTTGCAGGACTCCAACTCCCATGGGCCCCAGCTAGCATGAGCAATGGCCAGGGATGCTGGGGCTATAGCCCGACAATATGTCTAGGCTACATAAGCCACCTCACAAGGTGTGTATAAGGGAATTTTTAAAGTCAGGTTTTGGCAAGGGGTTGTCCACTGGGGCACAGAGGCCCCACTCCAAACAGCCTGTCAGTGGTTCAGTCCTACAGGCTTTAGCAAAGCACCTCTGTCTGAGCATCATGAAGAGACTCAAGGCCAGCATCTTGCTGGCTCCTCACAAGTTCACAATCGAGAGACTAAAACCTGAGTTCAGACACGCTGCGGTACAAAGAGCCCTGGGCATTTCAAGCCATGTTCTTCTGTGGAAGAGCTGAAGAAGGCAAGCAAGGAAGTCCAGGGCTCTCTCAACACTGATCTGGGGGAGAATTCCTTCTAGGTTGGAAGGAATTCTGGCTGGCTCTGGACCGTGAGCAGCAGCTAGCCATTGGGAACTGTTCTCACGACAGCTTCAGCACACGGGGGGCAAAGGAGAAGGTGGGCAGTCCCCCGCCCCCCATGCCCAGCTGGGGGTCCTCCTTCTGTCCCCTGCAGAATCCCACTTAGGTGGAGTCCTGCATGCTGCTCTAAGTGTGGGTCAGCCCTGATGTGGCAGAAGCTCCCATCAGCACAGGTCTGCGTGGGCAGCCTGGCCCGTGTCACCTGCCAGCTGGGTGTGGTGGGGGGGGGCAGTGTGGGAGGGGCAGGGGGTGGGCAACTGGGTGGCAAAGCTCCGAAGTCTCTCGGGAGCAGAGAGGCAGGGTCAGCAGCACAAGAGAAGACTCCATGCATAGCATCCCTGCACAAAGGCTAAGACTCCTCAGCAGCAGCAGGAATGCCAAGTAACCTAAGTCCAATCTGCAGAGGAAAAACATGTTTCAGTAAATGTCAAGTGCGCATTGCACAGTAAACATCCTGGGCTTTTTGCTGCATTGGCCAGCTTGGAGACTGACTTAAGAATGTTGCTGAAAATTCAATCTCTGAGATATCCCAAAGAGATAGGGCCCTTGGAGGTCTCCCACGCTGAACATTTGTTAATCCCCCATCCCCAGCAGCATCTCAGGTACGTCACCCCAGCTTCCTTCTTCCACCAGCCCCGTGTCTTGTGTCCTCCTTACAGAGCCCTCTGCGAGCCGTCGAGTGAGGACTCTCATCGAAGAGCTGGTGGACGGCAAGGTGGTCTCCTCTCGTGTGAAGGAGGAAGAGCACCAGTTCTGAAAGAAGGTGGCTTGTTGCCCTGAGTGGTGGCAGGCAGAGGTGTGTGTGTGTGTGTGTGTGTGTGTGTGTGTGGAGAAGAGGCACAATTTCCCATGACTCTGTCCACCAGGTAGATTCTGTGGCTGAAATGCAGGGGTGCCAATAAAGCAAGTCTTCCGCTTCTGCCAAGGGAGTGACTTTGCTGTGGTTTCTGAGATGGGGTCCTGGGTTTGGGGCCTTCAGGTCAACCTGTGACATTTCTTTGACCGCACCAGCCCCATGGCCATTGACTGCCACTCTGTTGTCGCCCCTCCACCCCAGCTTTTATCTGGGATGGGTTGTGGCCCAGCAGTCCTAGCTTCCTTCCGCAGTTTGGGGGATCCAGGGGCAACTGCTGGGAGGGCCCTCTCTTTGCCGGAAACCTTGGCAGGCCACAGTCTGCAAGGGGGAACTGAGGGTATGCAAACTTCCACCTCCCGGAAGTTCTGGTCTGCAGCATTCAGCAGCCCTGGCCAGCATGCCCAAAGGGTAGGGGTGGTGGGAGTTGCCAGCAGGTTGCCCACCTCCTGTGCAGATAATATTGGGCTAGGTGGAATAATGGATTGACCTGGCCAAGAGCGAGCATCGTCCTGTATTCCCATTCATCCGCCCTCCTTCTGCCAGCAGCACCATGGAAATAATCCTCTGGCTGCCCGGTTCATTTTTGCTGAATTTCCCTTTGGTATTGAACCCAATTTAGTTCAGTATGTGATGGTGTCAGATGTGTTTCTTTCCACCTGCAGTGGCCAAGCCAGTGGCCCATGGAACGCATGCGCCCCTTCTGTGTAATCCCTTCTGTCAAATTTGCCGAGATGGCGGCAGAGCCATTTTGGGCTGGCTGGCGGCTGAATTTCAGCGCACAGTGGCCAAAAGGGCCTGTTTAGTTTTAAAACGGGGCCCATTTTTCTTGCTGCTGAAATCTGGCAACAGACCACAGTTGTTTTTTCCACCTGTCCAGCACCGGTTGCTGAGGTGTGGCAGGGAGGCAGGTAATGTTGGCCACGACACAATTCCTCCCTAAAGAAACTGGGCTGGGAGGTCTTGATGGAACAGGAAGAGGAGCAGGGGCCAGCGGGACTGAAACCCACTCTATGGCCTTATCCCAAAAAGGACCCAGGAAGGGAGAGAAGTGGCTTGTGCTGGCAATTGCCAAGAAGTTGTGTGGAGGGGGGAGTGCCCAGATGGCACCCTTCACACACTCGCGAGGCCCCCGCAGCTTATATGTGAAGGGGCAGCAGCCCTGTGCCCAGATGCCCTGCCCCGTCTCGCTCGCCTAGCTGACATTGGCAATCCCATCAGTAATTCTCGAGGCCCCAAGTCATAACTTCTTTTTGACACTAGGTGGCAGTAGAAGCTGCATAATCAGTGCATGCTGCAATTTAGACTCGAGATCATGATGGGGGTGCCTATTTGTGCTACATGAAGTTTGAAGGTTGTTTTGCAGTACCCTTGAACAGAATTGTTCTTTTAACTGGGTAAGATAAAGGAAGAAACTGCTTAAGGAGAAATATGTTTTTCTTGAGGGGGGTGGGGTGGGAAAGCGAGGAAGACTCTCACAGAGCCTTAAAGATGTGTGTGTTTATTTGGCATGTGTTTACAGACCAGAAGATGATCAGCCTGTTGGAAATCAATGGATCGATGATCCATTACGGGGCTCTTCTAATCCAGCATCCAGAATTCCAAAATGCAGTACAGGCAAATAAAGTTGTTCAAGCCCTATCCAAAGCTAGCTGTGTGAGCAAAGGAAGAGGTGCCCACTCTGGGGCAATTTGAATTCATGCATGTTCCAGCACCCAACTGTACACTGAAAGTAACCCAGGGTGTCTTATGTGACAGACTAAATCCTTCGGCCGTGCCACAGGCGGCCACTAGGTGCCAGTGCAGCCTGCGTGCTAGGAAGGGTGGCTCTCTAGCCCTGCCGGCATTAGAAAGCAAAGGTGCATCATGGACCCTTCACCGGCATGGGGTGCAGTAGGACAAGGAATGCACAGTGAATAAACTCTCCACGTGGTCTGAGCAAGTAACCAAGCCAAGCTGGACCAGCCATTGGTCTAATTTCTCTTACAGGCAGCCATGGAGGAGCCCGTATTGGATCGTGCCCTCCCTCCAGCTCAAATGGCGCACTGCCAATTTGCTTCCAGTGACGCAAATAGCGGGGTGTGTGGGGAGGGCAGGAGCCAGTCTGGGTCCCCCCTGCTCCCCAGCATTAGTCTTTTGAAACGGCGTTACAAGTGATGGGAGGTGAAATTGCAGCTCCCAACCTCTTGGCTCATATGGTCCCCAGAGATGCTGCAGGGAAGCATGGGACGATCCTGCTGGCAGCAGGCTACAGGCCTTGGGATAAAAAGAGACTTCCCCCCCTCCCTTCACGGCATGCCCATTGTACTGGACAAAAGCCACACATGATCTTGGAATACGGCCTTTGATGTTGTGGCATCACACTCCAGAATTTTCTACTATTACCTTCTAGGCAAGATCCAATTCTGAATCTTCAGCAGTTAGTGAAAACATAGTTTTCTAACAAGTGTTCCCAGGAAACTACTAGTATCTTCTGTATGCAGCAATAACATAAAGTATTTAATCATGATCTATCATAAATAAATCACATCTATCAAATACAGATCTTATAGATCACAAAATATCACATAAAACATAGTATCAGAAGGATTGCATAATTATGATCTATCATACACTTCTGTGTAGGCTGAAGTGTCCAATCCTGCCTAATCTTGGAAGCTAAGCAGGGTCAGGCCTGGTTAGAATCCCAGTGGGTGACTTGAGTGTATGATTCTGTGATGATTGTTGTAACCCATTGTAATAGAAATATGATGATGATGATGATGATGATGTTTGATTAGTCTAAGCCTTTTTTTCACTGCTCAGAGAGTCCTGGTTAGGACTATTGGATGCAGGTTTACCAATCAGTCAATCAAATAAATAATTTGAACACTGCCTGGAAAATTTCCTTTAATGCAAACAATTCAGAAAAATCAGGTACCACTGCCAGATTCTGTTGTGCGTACATCGGTCGGGGGTGGAAGTCTGGGAAAGTGCTGCTGTTTACCAGAGCAGGTGGATCTCTAGCAAAACCCCTTGAG